AGTGGGCCATTCTCTTGTTGCTGTTGTTATATCGAAGTTATATCAAGTTCATAGCATGCATATTCAATGAAACCGCTAATTTCATAATTCCCTTCGAGGGATATAATATTTTAAGAGTAGGTGAATAGAAGGGTTTCTGTGTGAAACCGCAGCCTCAGTTTTTTTTTTTCATTGGATATTCAGCTACGGGTTTCACTAGTTTACCGTATGGCCCTTCTGTGATATATGCTGAATCACATTGGACGTAGAACGCTTATTAGACCATTCAAACCTTGAACTGTGGACTTGGATCTGGCCATGACAGTGAATTAATGCATGCCTGTAATATCTAGTAATGACAGACCAAATCCTACCGCTTCTTTGAATGAGAATTTATGAAACCTCAGTAAGTAAGGGACGAGGCCGCGCCATAGCTCAAACGGTTAGTCGCTGGCTTCCCACCTGGGCGGCCCGGGTTCAGTCCCGGGTCTGGTCAAGTTTGATTTGTGGTGGACAAAGTGGCGCTGGGGCAGGTTTTCTCCGAGTACTTCGGTTTCCCCTGCCAATCTTCATTCCACCAATTGCTCCACAATCACCCTCACCTATCATCTGGGGCTGGTACAATAGGCCAGAAGTGGCCGCAGTACAAGGGACTTAGTCCCACCCCACTAGCAATAAAAAATAGTAAAGGACGAGGCCAGGACTCGAGACGGACCTTACCGCCGAAGGGGTGATCACAGGTTCATTAAACGACCTCAGCGCCGAGAGCCCTGCTATCCTGACTGAGGTTGTTGGTGGTGTTCTCAGCCCACGCAGAAAAATATCAGGATTGTAGGCTTTCCTCAAATTATGCCACGACCACTTCCTTGCACATTCTTTCCTGTTCATTAGTCAGCCTACCATTCATTGTTGCATAGCCGCGGCTCCGTTAGAAATAGCCAGTCTGATAACATAAAACATTATTGCTGTAGACACGAGGGTACGCGGTAGCGTACTTAGATGCGGCATTATGCTACAAGCCGGAAGGTCGCGAGTTCGATTCCCGATGATGTCAGTGGGTTTTTTTTTAATTTACCTCATCCATCCAGCCGGTAGACTCAACCTCTATCAGAAATGAATACCAGGAATCTTCCTGGGGGGGGGGGGGAAAGGGCGGCCGGCGCGTAAGGCTAACAACCTTACCGCCATCTGTGAGCCGATTGTCTAGAAAATGTGTGAACCTCGACGTCTCACATCCCTATGCGCCTCCACGCTCTTTTACAGGGATAGCTTTGCTTACTTTTATATTATCAGCTACTGACAGCGCTATTAAAGTAAATAATGCAGAAATGTAGTTTTTTAATGACATTCTTTCAACTTCGTGTGTTATACGGTGTTGACTTGTAGGACGATTTGGAGTGAAACAGTATGGAAGGAGTCCATCGCACTATCTCAGATTTTGCTTGGTGGGGCGGAGGAAAAACATGAGGAACGTCTGTCCCGAAGAAGACGCGTGAGTACGTTATGGAGTACTAGTACTCATTGTGTCACAAGCGCCATCCACCGTGGGAACCCCCGAAATCCTTATTCTGTCCCACGCTACCACCAGTTCCTTGTGCCCCCACCCCTGCGACCAGTTTATTATGGCGCAAGCGGGGATGAGGCACCCCAATTTCTTATTCTAATCCCAACGCTGTCACCAATTTGTTGTGCCGCCCAGTTGCGACCTCCAAATCCTTATTATATCTCTCCGCAGCAAACCAGTTTTGTTGTGGCGTCCGAAGGCCACCATCAAAATTTAGAATAACCCACCCAGTTTCCACCAGTTCCACATCTGTGGATAGCTCCTACTCCGCCCAGTTACATAATTATTACGAATACCCCAATAAACACTCAACATGTGAAAACAAAAACAAATATAATCAAATCAACAAGTAGTTACATACGTACAACCCTTTTAACATATACAATCTGCCATTACACACTCTACATTAACGTCCTACAATTGACTACCCATAATCTACTAAACATAGCTAACTCAAACACAAATTTTATATCCTACAATCAGTAAACCAAAGTTATGAAGTAACAACAGCGAACCAAATACATACTCTAACCATCATTCGCTAACCAAAATTTGTATCTTAACAGTAACCCAAAATTCGTAGGCTAACCATCGATTAGTGACCCACATAAACCTTATTTTCTATCGTAACACTCAATCAACGAGTCAGAGTTGGCATTTTCAACATGCAACTAGTGAATCAAATATTACGTCCTAACAATCAATCAATGGGTCAAGTTCATACTCTACAAACAGTAAACCAAGTTTTGTATCCCAATAGTGAATCGTTTTACCAACTTCCAAATTTAACCAACAATTAACAAACCAAATGTTACATCCTAAACTTAATTACTAAACCAGATTCTTGTATCTTAACTATCACTCAAAAAATAAAAATATATACATTCTCATAGTTATTCAATAAATAAAAACATTACTCTTTAAAAAACCATGAACCAAAGTTTATATGCTAAGATCATTTAACCAATTTTATCCTAACAGTCCATTAACAAACCAAAATTCATGTCCTAATCATTGAACCAGAAATTACATATTAACAACCATCAGTGATCCGACCACAGGCAATTACGCTTACAAATGTGGCTGACAATGAACACGTCTGACGCCATCCCATCTCCTTCCTACCACACGATTTCTAGAGTAGATTGCTCCGAGCGACTGGTAGAATCAGTGCTCGCGGCATCTCCCGTCAAAGCCACCCCACACCCCCAAAAAATTCAACATTCTCGCACTCACGAAAATTCTGCCCACTCAAAACCATAAAGTGGGCAGATTCCTTCTGGCCGATAACCTGTCGTGCGAAAGCCAGACTTGCCTCTGTGTCGTTCAACCGATTCGTAAGCAATCTTTAATAAATACCTCATGACTGACTGACAAGAAATGCGAGGTGTCAGTCGCGACGCTGACCTCTCGTTTCCGGCCAACCATCCGGTGACTCACTGAATATATTAAATTTTACAAAACTTTTAATTTCTAATAAATTAAACATAATATCGCTCGTTCGTAAAATAAAGAGCGTACCTATTAATAACCGAAGGCACAACATCGTATTATAATAAGCCAGTAGTGAACTCCGTTTGGCTGTGCTTCAATCTCGCAGGCGTCTGTATTTTGTCACTCTTTGGTAACAATGGCGCAATGTTTTGTTTGGCGCTGCAGACTTTGTTTCCTTGCTAATTATACTGCGTGTTAGGGATTGTCTGTGAAATAGCATTGCTCTTTCTTCCGTGCAGAGAATCGTAAGTGCGCTATTACCTCTGTGATCCAAAGCGGTCTCTGTCATGGTTATTCCATGTAAGTCGAAATTATCTCTGGCTCTACAGCCCTTGTGGACCTTGGCCGCGTTTTCAGTTTCTTAATCTATACACAGTCGGTAGGACTCCATGGACGGGAGATCAGCCCGTCGCAAGGCCGCTGCCTACGCACAGAACAACACAAACACAGAATAAACGTACATAGACATCCATGCCTCGAGTGGAATTCGAACCCACGACCCCAGTGTTCGATCTGGTGAAGACGGTTCATGCCTTAGACCGCACGGCCACTGATTGATATGTGGAAATTACACGCAGTAGACTGCGTATGTGTTAATGGACTGGAGATTACTGAATTGTATACTGCGGTCTTACGTAATTATACTCCTCATAGAATATTAAGGGGATCAAATCAAAGAGGGTGAAATGGGCGGGGCACTTAGCGCCCATGAAAAATGAAAATGCATAGCAGATTTTAGTCGGAAAAAGTGGCGTACCTAGGTACTCGTACATGAGGGAAGATATTTAGTAATATTGGAGCCACCTGCTCACGATCGTTCCTCGCTCGCGGATTTTTCTAACCTGAAGATAGAGGCGATACGTTCCTCCGAAACGTTGGTTCACACAAGATCTACGCGGCGCTACGTCTCAGAAGACGGCATTCTTCGCAGTCATCGCCGGGAAAACCTGAGGTCTTACAACATCAAAATGGATATTAAATAGGATATGAGGGTATAGACTGAATACGTTGTTGCAGGATGGACATTTTTGGTCAGCTAAGCGACAGTGAGCTCAAATAGCCAGGCAATCCGGGAACATTTAATAGTGGAATAATTCTTTACAAGTTGAAGTTAGAAAGTTTAATGTATTCGGAACCTGTATTAATGGAAATGTCCTGCAGAAATGGCTAGCTAATTTATACTAATTGGAAGTTTGGGGGTTTTCTCGGCAATAAATATTCAAATTGTGGTCTTCTGGCTTGTGATACCGTATATTCTTGGACGTGGATACCAGTGATTCGAAGGAACATGCTGCATCCATCTTCAGTGTCGAAGTAACACATGCGTCTTAATGTCTTTTCACAACTTCTCCTGCACAGAGATGAGTCGGTGACGCTTACTTTACTTTTTGTACCGAGCGGACAGTCGGGGGAATTTCTAACAGTTTGAAATTATTCCATTGCCATTCGTGCGCGATTTGTAATTGCCAGTGTTAAGCGTAGACGAACCTGACGTCATTACGTTTTTTGTACCACATAGGCCTATGTTACTTCATTTATTTACTGCTTATTTAAGAACACTGTCACTAGTTTCGCTGTATGGCATCTCATGATAAAATTAGTGAATAATGAATTGGAACGGATCTGGAAGGAAATTATTGTCACCTAAGTTGAGGTACTGTTCTGGAATTTACTTGTAAAGGCTGAAGAACTGAAGAAAACTACGAACTTTCAGATATACTATTTCATACGTGCGTACATATGTCCCCACATAACGTACACGATGACTCATGCGGTCCGTTGTCTATGCGGCAGTTTTATCAACTTCAGCATCACCGTGCAGAGTTTGCAGTATCTTCCGCATTAGAAGGTATCTTCGTCGCGGGGGGGAGGGGTTGCTGGGACAGGCCGAGTTGTCAGTGGGCCAGAAAGAAATGAGCACAGCAGTTAGGTCCCATTTTGCTATAGTATAGCTGGGGTTCGGGAAAGAGGCGCAACAGAAGTGTGCATAGATTTCCCCTCGTGCCAGTGCGTGCATGTGTCAGGATATTCGTAGTAATGTTGCAGAGCTGTGACACCGAGACACAACCTCTTTACGTAACAAGTCATCTTTATTAAGTGGGATTGTCTGCGATTACAGTAACAAGTTGTTTGTTTGGTTGATAAACATATTTCGGCTGCGTGATTTCCTCCGGACTAAGTTCGCAGTGCTATCATGGACATGTTCATAACGATATACATAAACATATTTGTGAAATATATATTCGTGCATGAAGGGAGGCTCTGTGATCACTTACGTTTCAGTGTAGTAGAACTTAACAGATCTAAGTGACATACTCGAGAGTAAATACTTACTCAAATATTTTATGGCATAATTAATTTTAAATATGGAAATTTTGTTATTGTAATGTTGAAAATGAAAGTGGCATTGTTAGTCGTAAAAATACGTTAGCGTGTTAAATATATGCATGTTTATTCGTGTCGTATTCAAGTCATGCTTGAGTGTACAAGATTTCTGGAGTAATGTTCGTTATCGTGTTTATATTACCGAAAACTGAGTTAAGTTGTATATTTCTGATTATTTTAAATGGTGTAATATTCAGTTTGTACTGCAACAAGGTCAACCGTTCCTTAAAAGACACTAAACTATGTTTAATTCACTAAAAGTATTTCTTAAATATTTTCAAATGTCATTAACTACGTACATTCATTGTCATTGCTACATGTTTCGGCTGCACATGGGCCATCATCAGGCAACACTTGTTATCTGGAGAGACCACTGCACTGTACACTTTGTCCTCAGTGTCCTTAGGGACATTGTTGTTTTTGTTGTTAATTTGCTTCGTAAGACATTAACCTATCTTTTTAGCAGCCGTTTCATTGTAATGTATATATACAGTACATTATAGATTACAGTGAAACGGCTGTTAGAAGAAATAGGATGATAATATCTTAAGAAGCAAGTTAACTTTATCTTTAAACTTAAACCCATCTCTGTATATTTAGATGTTGAGTTTTTTGTACTTCCGTATTCTTTTTTATTGTGTCTTGCACTTCAGTTGTGTTTCTGTTTCTGATGCTCAGTGCGAGGTAACATAGATAGTCTCAGAGCTGTCTCACACATTCGATAAAATTGTTATCATTAATTATGTAGATCGATGCTGTTTTTTTTTTCCCCATCATATATGAAGTAGCTCAAGTACAGTGACTTTCAGAATGCCTTTGTACATTCAATCGTCACGTAAGTGGTGGCAGTTTGCCAGAACACTTCATGCCGTGCGCTGAACACAGGTGGTAGCATAGTAGTTACATTCTGTTTAACGTACGTTACCTTGCGTAGTGCATGACGGGTTAGCTGTAGAGTAGGCTGAAGATAAGTGGAGTGTTTTGTTGCCTGTATTTATAGCCAATGAGAGGTGAAGTTTCGAGTGACGTGATGGTGGTATAAAGAAAATATATATCCGGAGTGAAAGAAATATTGCATCCGTGGTTGCAGTTGGTTCGGAAACTGGGAGACTATGTTTGCTATCGACAAGATGCCAATAATACATATGCAACGCAGAAATTCGCAGTTTCAGCGCAAAGTATCTATTCGCATAGGTAAGTTTTGTGTGATTGTCATTTGTTTTGGGAAAATAAATTTCCCGTTCTGACCTCACTCCTGGTAAAGTATCTGAATAAGGATTGGATGGCCGGGCTTCGATTCCCGGTAAGGATAGGAAAACCGTCTGATGTCCATTCAGTCTCCAGTGTGGCTGGTACCGGCGACTCTCTACCCGGTGAGAAGTGGTCGAGTCCTGAAGCTGATCACCCACCTCGATCTAGTGTCGAGGTTAAGAATGCGACCTCTCCGCCAGACGCCATCATGGCAGTTCTCAATTCAGCAGCAATCAGAAACGGGTTATGTTATAAGATCTCTTTGTTTTCTGGTATGTTATTTCTTGTTGTTAGGCCTTGAGATTTTGCAACATGGAGTTACACGAAGATTGTTCTCGGCGAAGTGCTCGAGACACCAGGGCCCTAAAGAAATTAGAAAATATACCAGAATATCCAGCGTTTGAGCGATATTGCACCTGGGCACCGCAGACGCGTTACAAGTGTGTTGCTTTTATCTGTTATGTTTACTTACATACTTGTATGAAGCCCTTGAAATTGACAAAATAGAAACAAACTTCGTCAAAATGTGAATCTTCAAGGAACTGAAAAGTACATACGAGGGAGAGTCAGTAAATAGGTCACACATGGAAGGGAAACAGCTGTATTGGACGTAATAGGTTTTGTATATCTATTACTAGGTAGAAACACAGTCCAGTTTCATGACAGACTAGTTAGCAGACTCGCATGCACATGTTCAGAGGCTGGTTTCAGTAGTCAAAATGACAACCGTGCTTGAGTGTACTATCAAAAAGCAGCTTTCTGTTGTGCTTTTTTGTGAGTAAAGGCACTCATTCATAAAGAAATGTTTCATGAGTTTGATTTGTTTCTTTTCTGGTCCGTCACATTAACAATTACAAAACAGCACAGCAGCCACGAGCAAACCCTGGACGATATAAAGAACCTCCACATCAAGATAGCCAGGTGGCACAATATCTGCCCCATATAAGAGAGACGATGGGAGGACGAACACGAGCCTGCATGGTTTACGAATTTTAATCATTGACAATCTAAAAAACTTTTAATTAGCATCAAGGAATTTTATACAATTTTTTAAAACTTACATTCCCAGGAAACTGCTGTGTTTATGAAATGTTCTATTCTGTGTACTGTGTGTTGTAACATATAAGTGTACGTACTTTGCGTGTAAACAAATTATGTGATAGTGGTTTCCTATTTGTAGTGATGTTTGCCCTCTGAATATGGTCCACAGAGACCGAAACATGTAGGGGTGTTGGGTTTTTATGTAGTAAAAAACTTACGGTCACATTGGACGGAGTGATTTATAATTTGTAAATGTTTCATGTTTACGGTGTGAAGTGGTTCATACCTTGCTGGCAAGCGTTTTGCTGATGACGAAGAGGTTGAAACAGAGGTGCGGAATTCACTCAGACAGCAGTCAGAAGACTTCTATGCTGCGGGTTTCGACGCACTGGGAAAGCTATGGCACAAATGTATCAGTGTTGGTGGAGAAATATTTTTTTTTCTCTGGTTCAAATATCATGCGTTTTATGTTTTGTGCCCTGTTTACGGACTCTCCCTCATACTAAACTTGATAGAATAACAACGCCAACGTTTACCAAATTCGGCAACTTAGCCAGAATACGCTGTCGCGTGCTGCCCGCTGTTTTCGTGGCTGATAAGTAACTTCGTCTGTTCAGAATCTTTTTCTAGCCTTGAGAGGAATTTCTTTCGTTATCTACCGTGAATTCAGTGACCTTAGTTACGCGGGTGTTGTGCGCTATGCTACAGTTCACCTTCATTTCTTGAGAGACAAATACCGTTACAAATAACGGGCAAAATTCTTCGTTTACTGTAGAAGAACATTTAGCGAGAATGCTCCCGTTTAGTAAGGTGCTGTAAATTAAGGCAAAGACATGTTCCTCACGCGTTCCTTTGAATAGTAAATTAGTAATCACCTCTATATGAGTTGTTTCACACGTAAAGTTACGAGGCCCACAGAACATGTTTCTGACTTTAATTGCTACCAGTGGAAATTGTTGCATGGGAACCGCTGGACTAGACGGTTCTGCAACATGTAAGAATATTTGGGTAAATGTGGAACCTGTGATACGGCTGCTGCCATCATCTGCTTATATGTATATGTATGTATGTATACATATAGTAGCGTGTACAGCCGTTGCTTTGCAGTACTCGAATAAACAACGGTGTTATGCAACCCTTTTCTAGGCAACGGATCAGTAAACGCGCCTCTATAACAATAGAGTTACTGAAGAAAGCAGTCTTCTGGGATTTGGCACCGTGTATAAGTGGTGTTAACCGACGTTTCGGAGGAACGTATTGCCTCCATCTTCAGGGTAGAAGAAAAAGTATAAGAAATCTGCAAGCGACAAGACCGTGAGAACGGTAAAAGCAGACTGCTTTTATTCTTATTTCTTATACTTTTTCTTCTACCCTGAAGATGGAGGCGATACGTTCCTCCGAAACGTCNATGTTGTGTCTCTTACTACCACCCCCATTTCTTCTCTTCTTCAACCATTTCAGTTTATCTCTGCAAGGAAGGCTGAGAAGAGATAGCGGCATAGTTGGTTGTCAGCTGAGAGTTGAGTTCTGCACGGGAGTCTGTGAAGATAGGATCTGAGCGTGGGAAGCTGAAGAATCTCCATTGATGGAAGCGTTTGCTAGGGAACGGCTGTTGAAATGTTGAAGACACTGCAGGCTGGAGAAGACTTACCTTGTAGTGATTTGGGAATTGTAGAGATGGGCGATAGCTGTGCAGTTACTTGTAATCCCGAGCGGTGTGTGTAAGTGGTCATTAAATCCATTCGCCAATCCACAACCCGTCTATAGTCACACACCCCTAAATCATGACAGTCTGTAGTCACCCCTAAATCGTGACTATATGTATTGTATGCATAATATAAGGATTAATTTTTATGTGGGCCGAGTACAGAACGCCTCAGAATAGCCGGTGTCCTGCCTGTGTTGGAAATCGGCACTTGAGACACCTTGCCATGATGCTGATTTACGTTCTTCTTTTATCGAAGTTAAAATATGCTCGTCGATTGCAGTGGCCGCGCGGTCTATTGTTTTTTAGTTTTTTTTATTGCTAGTGAGGTGGGACTAAGTCCCTTTTACTGCGGCCACTTCTGGCCTATTGTACCAGCCCCAGATGATAGGTGAGGGTGATTGTGGAGCAATTGGTGGAATGAAGATTGGCAGGGGACACCGAAGTACTAGGAGAAAACCTGCCCCAGCGCCACTTTGTCCACCACAAACCGCACTTGACGAGACCAGGGATCGAACCCGGGCAACCGCGGTGGGAATCCAGCGACTAACCGCTTGAGCTATGGCGCGGCCTTGCCGCGCGGTCTAAGGCATGAACTGTCGTCGCTTCGCTCAAACTCTGGGATCGCTGGTTCCAGTCCCACTCAAGGCGGGGATGTCGGTGTGCATTTCTTTTCTGTTTGTGTTGTCCTTTGTGTAGGTAGCGGCCTTGCGACGGACTGACCACTCGTCCAGGGAGTCCTGCCGACTGTATAGAAAAGATTACAAAAGTGAACAAGAGGCCAGGACCCAACGAAGGACAGTAGAGTCATTGATGAATGAAATGAAAATAGGCGTACTGTTGCTTAGTTTTATTTTATTTTTTTATTTCGTCATGGCCATTGGAACTTGATTCAGGTCACTCCTGGGAGCAGTATAAGCGCGTTTAATGGTCTGTATCTTTTAGCGATTTGCGTTTAGGTTAGATTGCCATTTCAAACAATTTAGTACAGTGTTTATAAAACTTTCTTTTATTGTTTCGTTTCTCAGAATATTGTAATATGCTTCCATTTCGCTACATTTCCACCGAACATTATAAGCTCAGTTACCCTCGTTTTTCTGAACCGTCATATTTGAATTTGACTTGACAGAACAGACCACCGACTAAGAGATATTGACGTGACATAGTAGTCACCATAGGTTGTCCGACACAGCAGGTTAGTGTAGTGGTGACGCTCTTGACTTATATTCGGGAGGTAGTTGGTTCGAATCTCGGCCGAAACGCCGTCCATTCTTACCAAAGGTTCTCGTGGTTTTCCTGAATCCCTTCAGACAAATGCTGGGATGGTACCGAATTATGTCACGACCAATTATCATACCAGTCCGCACTATATGTACAATCTGAGATAGTGTCATAAAGTGAACCACAAGAAATGTATAGATTATCCGACGTTTGAAAATGTTGTTAGTCTTATTTCATTGGGTTTATACAGAATGGAGCAGAGGAAACGCATGTTTTTCACGTAAGAATAACCTGGTTGATTTTTCAAGATAAAATCTTTTTAATTTCAATAAAATAAGGTATTTTAATGCATTTTTAACTTACATTACGTACGGAAAATAATGTCAGTCAGATGACGCCCTTCTTGCTGGACACACATTTGGAGCCTCCCCTCAAAATTCTGTACCGCATTCGCCAACATATCTTCCGGCACAGCTGCGATTTCTTGCCGAATGGAGAGTTTCAGCTCGTGGATCGTTCGTGTACACTCTTGCCTTGAGGTATCCCCACAGAAAAGTCACAAACCGATGGATGAAGAGGAGCGCGGGGTCCAAGAAACATCACTGAAGTGGGAGATCACATGTTGGGGGGACATGCATCGAACAACTTTTATCAATGCACTCGCCGTGTGAGCTGTGGCACCATCCGGTTGGGAGCACATTTGTCTCATGTTTGCCCGACGTCTTAGGAGTTATGGGTGCAGGAAGTTTAACATGTCGACGTCGCGCTCCGAAGTCACTGTAAGTGCAGTCTCCCTCTCTTAAAAAAAGTAAGGACCAACGACCCGTAACTTAACACTGTCACCTTTCAGCTGTGGTAGCGTAGGAATGGAGGCTCAGTTTCCGACGGGGCCAGTAAAGGTTTGTCTTCTCCATAGCGACTCTGCGGCCTGCCCACCTTCATATCCTACGTAGGGCTCTTTCCCCGGAGCTCAAAC